GTCTCAAAAAAAAAAAAAAAAAAAAAAAAAAAAAAAAAAAAAAAAAAAAAAAAAAAAAAAAGGAAATTACAATAGTACAGCTCAAAAGTGGTTAGACTTAATGAGTACATGTATAGCACTTAGAGTACTTACTATGTAATAATGCATTATTCCTTTTAATAAGATTACACTAATTTAATAGCTCCCTTTATGTAGGCTATCGTTTCTAATATTCTATGTTTCTAAAATCAATGTCAAAAGAACTGGTTTCTAACCTTTCTATCTCTGCTACACTATTTTATATCACAAAGAAGTTTTAATCTCAATATATTAAGTCTAAGAGGAAATATGCATCAGTTAAGAGAGTATGTTAAAGAAATATTGTAACTTACTATGTCTCTGAAAACAACTGCCCTAAGCCGATTAATATCCATGTCCTGTAGAAGCCTGTCAAGGTCTCTTACTGGAGATATACCACCAGTCACAATGTCCACTGGGCTCTATTTAAGAATAATAAAAAAAAAAAATGTACATATATATATATATATATATACACACACACACACACACACACACACACTACACAGATACTCTTTAAAAATAAACACAGTATTCCAAGAACCAGAGAAGCAAAGCTATACCATTCCTTTCCCCACTTTTTTTGTGTGTATACTTCTTTCTTCTTTGGGGGGTTGGAAAGTGGGGTGGAGAAAGATGGCATGAAGGAAAAAAATGACATATTTGAAGGAAAAGGTATCACAGAAACAAGAAAAGTAAACATTTGAAAAAGCAGACAAGATTGAGTATAAACAAATCTTTACTGTATATTTAAACACAAATATTTGAATGTTACGTCCAGGCCTAAAGTAACTATTTTAATCTCTGCCAGATTTAACTTTATGTTGAAATGAAATTTAAAAACTTAATTGTAAAATAGGAATATGCTTTTTGAAAATTAATCTGTATACTTACCTTTGCTGCAGATTTCCCTAAAGGAATAAAGCTATGTATTGTTTTCAAGGCTTTATCTCCCCTAGTTTTCAGTTGTGAATGCTGCTGACACTCCAAGCAATTCCTTACTGCCACTGCACACACTGTAATTTATTTTAAGGAAAAGATTGGGAAAGAAAAGTTAATGTTTAAGATTATGGAAGTAAAAACCATCAACTACACAATATGATTTACATAAGATTTTATACAAAAGAGATGACATTCAGCATATTCCTACAACATCCCTAGACTTTATCGCCTAGTGTTGGTTGTCTGATATTGTTAGATTCCATGCTGTGGCCCAGTTAAGACTTAGGGAGGCAGTATGGCCTACTGGTCTAAACTTTTAGGGTTTGCTGAAAGGAAATTAGTTCAGAATCTTAGTAGGCTTCTGTTTCTTAGATCTCAACTAAGCTAATTGGGACAATCTTTTATTAGGAAAAGGACAGGGAAGAAAAGAATTGAAAGAAATGGAAGAAAACAGAGAACAAAGCATATTACCATGAACTAGTCTACATAACAATCTTCTACTACCATCATTAAAGTAAATTAAACTGAAAATTTTGGCATTTTTCTTATACTGCATCATTACAGTATGATATTGAGACTGATAGAGGTTATAGTTAGAAGAAGCTTTATAGGGTCCAGCATTTACTAGCATTCATTAAAACTGCTTAGAAAATGGGAGACAGAAAGGGAAATTGATTAATATACAGTCTAAAATTACCTAAGGCTCCCAAAAATCAGGCAGTTAGATTACTTAGAAATTAATTTTGAATTTTAAATGACATACATTATGCACACTTCACTATGAACTGCTGGATACCATGTAATCATTTAAATTCCTACCAAATCTGTAGCACTCAAGGTACTTGAACTGAGCAATGGAGGGAGAGCAAATTAGGAACAAAATAGCAAACTTAAGTGGGAACTTCACAAACAATCACTGGCCTACCATATGGCTAGCAGACATGATAATTTAGAAAGAAAGTATTCTGAAAAGTGCCCAAAGAAAGCAATAGAAGTTGAAAGGAAATAAGGAGGGGATAAGGGAAAGAAGAGAGAATATGGAATAAAACTTTGTCAAATTTGGCATCAGACCCTAGAAATATTTTACTTTGTCAAATTTGCTATCAGACCAAGGAAATACTTGCCATACAACCTTTTTCACAAGTTGCATAAAATCAAATTTGGGTCTGCATTACAAAATTAAAAACCACACCTCATTTCCTGGTTTCAATCAGTTACTTCTTGCTGCCATCCTAATTTTTAACCCCAACCCAAGGAAACAACAGGAATCAGGACACCAGTGTCCAACAACAGATAACCAGATAAAGAAAATGTGGTATATATACATAATGAAATACTATTCCACTGTAAAAGAGTAAGAAATCATGTCTCTCACAGCAATAAAGATGGAAATGGAGGTCATTATCTTAACTGAAACAAGTCAGAAACAGAAAGACAAATATTGTATGTTCTCACGTATAAGTGGGAGCTAAATAGTGTGTATACATGGATGTAGAGTGTGTATAACTGAAAATGGAGACTCAGAAGAATGAGGTGTGAGAGGGGGTTGGAAGATGAGAAACTACTTAATGGTACAACGTATGTTACTCCCATGATGAATACCCTAATAGCCCTGACTTCACCACTAAGCAATCCATGTATGTAAAAAAATTGTACTTGTACCCTATAAATTTATACAATTTAAAAAAAAATCACACATTTGGACTGTTTACTTAGCTTACCATACTCTATTAAATAATCTTGGACAAGTCATTTTTTAAGTCTCATTTCCATATATAAAAACAAATGGTACTGGGGCAGATTAAATTATCTCTTAATTCTTTTCTACAGCTATGAAAAATTAGGAACATAGAATATTTCCCTAGCTTCTGAATCTGCTCTTGAGTAAAGCTTTGCTAGCACAGCCTTGTACTTTTAATTCTAGAAATATTCTCTTTTTAGGAAAGTGAAAAGGCTTTGAAAATGGCACACACAAAGCAATAAAGTCTAAATATTTTAATTACTAATAGATTAAAGAAGTATACTACAATAGAAAGAGTAGGAGCACTAGTTAGACAAAAGCATAGTATTCAAATTCTACCTTCGCCAATTATAGCTTTTTAGTTAAAGATAAGTTTCCCAATTTCTTTGATCTTCAATTTCCTCATGAATTAAAAAAAAACAAAATTTTCACCATAAAATCAACAATGACAAATGACAGTAATCAATAAATAATAGCTTTTATTATGTTATGCTCACCAATTTGTCTCTTAATTTAAATTTTAAAACAACTGTCTATAAATTGTTAATCCAAGTTATTCAGAATAGCTGGATATGTCATTTATTATTAAATATAAAATACTTGGAATTTTATAAAGTATATACTATTAAATACTTCAAATAGCATTTTGAGTAAAAATCTTATTTGTACCAAAAAGCACAAGTATACATTAGTTTATGTAACAGATCTTCTTGCTAAAGATGAAAAAATATGTCATTAACTCATTAGATTCCCACTTCCACATTACGTCTCTTTGTCTCTTCATATGAACATGGCTCCTAATGGTTTGCTTCCATTTCTTGTTCCTTCTCTCCTCACCACTTTCTCTTCATTTAGTAATAAAATCATTTAACAAAGTCTCGATGTTTACAACCATATAGAAGGAAAGTTATGCAAAAAAAAATTGTTTTTTTGTTTTTTTGTTTCACCTAAGGAAGTTCAATTGGCACTAAAAAGTCATTTCAGCCAGGCGCGGTGGCTCATGCCTGTAATCCCAGCACTTTGGGAGGCCAAGGTAAGTGGATCACGAAGTGAGGAGACAGGAGACCATCCTGGCCAACACGGTGAAAGCCCGTCTCTACTAAAAATACAAAAAAATTAGCTGGACATGGTGGCGCACGCCTGTAGTCCTAGCTACTTGGGAGGCTGAGGCAGGAGAATTGCTTGAACCCAGGAGGCAGAGATTGCAGTGAGCCAAGATCAAGCCACTGCACTGCAACATGGGCAACAGTCTCAAAAAAAAAAAAAAAAGCATTTCATGTATTTTTACTTTTACCTAGGGAAGAAGTAAAGAACTTTTACCTAGGGAAGAAGTAAAGAACAGAGGAAAAGAACAGAGATTTGATGATTTTATTAACTGCTTTAACAAATTACCACAGCTTTTTTAAATAAAAGCTGTATTTGAATGATGCTCGTTTAGAACAATATTATTCAAGTGTGTTGTAAGAGAAACAGCATCAACATCACCTGGGACTTTGTAGTCAATTTTAGGCCTCACTCTAGACCTATATAATCTTTTTCTTTTTTGAGACTCATTCCTGCTCTGATGCCCAGACTGGAGTACAGTGTTGTGATCTTAGCTCACTGCAATCTCCACCTCCCGGGTTCAAGCGATTTTGCTGCCTAAGCCTCCAAAGTAGCTGGGATTACAGATGCGTACCACCATACCTGGCTAATTTTTGTATTTTTAGTAAAGACAGGTTTTCAGCATGTTGGCCAGGCTAGTCTCAAACTCCTGACCTCAGGTGAGCCGCTGGGATCCAAAGTGCTGGGATTACAGACGTGAGCCACTATGCCCGGCCTAGACCTATATAATCTAATCTGCATTTTTAACAAGATCATCAAATTTATGAATCACCTTGTGTTTATTAATCACCTTATGTTTATGTATCTCCTTAAAATTTCAGAATCACACTTTGGAGCAAAAAGAGATTGGGAGCACCTATAATTCCAGCTATTAGGGAGGATGAGGAAGCAGGATCACTTGATCCCAGAATTTTGAGACCAGCCTCAGCAACATAGCAGGACCACCATCTCAGGAAGAAAAAAGAAAAAAAGAAAGGGATGAGGGAGGGTGGAAACTGCTGGCCAAAATCACCTTAGTAAATTCTGTTTTTGTTTTTTTTTTTTTAATACATTCATTTTATTGTGTTTTAGGTTTTGGGGTACATGTGAAGAACATGCAAGATTGTTGCAGTAAATTCTTTTTTTTTTTTTTTTTTTTTTTGAGACAGAGTCTCACTCTGTCCCTGAGGCTGTAGTGCAGTGGTGCGATTTCGGCTCACTGCGACCTCTGCCTCCCGGGTTCAAGCCACTCTTCTGCTCAGCCTCCTGACTTGCTAGGACTATAGGCACACATCACTATGCCCAGCTAAATTTTTGTATTCTTAGTAGAGACAGGGTCTCACCATGTTAGTGACGATGGTCTCAATCTCCTGACCATGTGATCCAACTGCCTTGGCCTCCCAAAGTGCTGGGATTACAGGCGTGAGCCACCACATCCAGCAGTAAATTTTTCAAAATATATCCTCCTCCTTCCCCATCCAACTTACCAACTACTACTATGCATAGTACATCAAAAAGTAACCATATAGTGAATAAGCTAGCACATATTTTCTCACCAACAGAAGATGGATAATTTCTAATGTCATCTCTGAATTACTGAAAATTTTTTTAAGTAAATTTCCAATGGTTTTTAACAGCTCACCCAGTCGGAGACACTGCCGCAAAATCCCTCCAGATGACATATTTTTTTCAGCTTCAATTTCAGTAAAGCCAAGAGAACTTGCAAATACAAGCACATCCACAAGGCTAATTAGCCTCTGCAAAAATGTCACAGAGGCTTCTATTGAAAGGCCTTGAGTAGGTTCAATATTTTCCAGTTCATGCTGTAAAAAAAAAAAGTTTGACATTTAAATACATATTCTAAAAAAAATTATTACCAGATACACTCCTAAAATTTATAAATTTTACAAGAAGTCAGACTTTCAGAAACCTAGTAACACAGAGTGATTTATACTTATTATTTCATCTAAAAAAGGTAGGGATATGAGGAGGAGCAACAGAAACATACAGGTGAAACACCATGAACCATATTCTTTCACTAGCTGACTCATACCTAGGGAACCAACATTTTTTTCAGCTATTTCATTACTAGACCAGATTCTAAGGCAAGTAATAGATACTATTGTTTTTTATTTATAGCATCTATGTGCATAGTAACCACCACATTTAAGTTTTAGTTAATAAAGTTGCCTAACACTCATGTTTTCACACCAATTTTATACAGTAATTAAGTCCTTACTGTAGCCGATGTAGCAGCTGAAAGCAATGGCAGTATACCCCCGCAAGCCATGACCATATTGTCCATCACTTGAGAGATGAGATGAATTGTGTTGTGTACAAAGATGACATTATCACTGCTATTCACGAAGTCCATAACTGTCTTTGTTGAATGGCTGTCCAAAGATAAATGATGTTTACTGATAAAGCTAAAAAAAGGAAATCACAGTTTCCCTACTTGAGGGGAGGGAGGATAAGAAGATGCTTTTGCTTCATCTTGAAAACTGAAGGAAGATGATGCAGTAGGGGGTGTATACTTCTTCAGATGGAACAGACCATTCCATATCAGTAGTTACTATCCATGACCTTTTTCAGTGCTGAAATATAAATACTATTCATTTTACACTTGACATAAAAAGTTGAAGAAAATTATCCTAACTGGGAACAAACCTGAGAAATCATGTGACAAAATTTATGAGGTAAATGTGCTATTAAAAATGAATTTTCTTCTGTAATGCCTATGAAATGCTTTTAAACATAACAAGAATCTTACACAAATAAAATAAAAAATTAGGCACTTTTAAAATCATAAATCATACAATGAAGAATAATTTGAACTATACGGATTTTTTAATGCTAAAAATACATTGGAAATATTGATAATGTTATACTTATCCTAATTGTTTTTTAACACTTCTAGTAATAAACCAACTTGATAGACCTACCTTCTGGCGAGTTCCATGCTATAAAATGGCTACAGGAAATCACTACAATTTTTTTAAAAAGAGAAACCTCTGCTTTTCGTGTTTTTGTAATCCAGATAAGGATTCCATTCTTTTATAATGGAGAATAAAAGTTAATTCAGTAAAACCCTAGCATAGAATAATTACTATCCTACATTTTAAACAAATGTCTGAAATTACAAAGTGCTTCTATAGATTTCTTTGAAAATAAAAGACTAGGTTTATACATATCTTCCATAACAAACATATAGACAAACCTTCTCCACATCTGTATATCTGTTTCAATTGAAAATAATAGATCAGTGAGCAAACGCTGATGCATTTGAGACCAGTTGAACTCAGGAATACGAAACGTAGTAGATCTGGAATCCCTCCTTTGTCCATTAACTGCATCTGGTGCTATTCCTTGCCCTGGCTCCTCAGGTTGCCTTGACATCTAATACAGAAAATTTAAAAAGTAATAAAATAAGTTCAATTTCAACAGAAGGCTTTAGAAAAGTAAACAATTTAGTAGTTTCTATGCAATCCATCTAACACATTTTAAGACACTAAAGAACCAAATTAGAGACAGAAAAATTATCAGTGAGTAATAACATTAATATTTTAGTACACATAAGTAAAGCATCAAAAGTATAAAACTACCACAATTCAGAAGTAACTAGATTGGAATTATGTTAAGTATTACCACTATGTAGCATGTTATAAAGGAATCAAGTAACAGTTATTAGTTTTGAACCTTAGCCTAAAAGAAAGGCAGTATTTAAAATCTAAATGGAATCTGGATTATGAAGTGGCTAAAATGATGAACAAATAAAAACAGTGATAACACAATGAAGAACAAACCAACAAAAACAAAAAAAAGGAAGGTGGGATAGAGGGTAAGAACTGAATAAAGTGAAAAACGACAACATGCTACCAAGCATTGTCTCATGGGTCACTCTGAGATACGGATAGAGAAGAAGGCTGTGCCTTTAGATCTCACAAAGACTCCTCTCTCTTATAGAATTCGTAATACAATTTTAAATCACACACTTGGTAACTAAAATTACACACTGGCAAGTAGGTAACCCTAGAGCTTACTGGAAAATAATGTACTATGATTGGGTTAGTCAAATAAAAGGTAAAATGCAAGTGTTTCCAGTATTTGTTTTATAAACTAAAATTATATCAATCATTCAAAGTGCTAACTTTTGATCATGCTATGGTAAAAATAATAATAAAAGCTGCCATTTAATGAACTCATATTAACTGCTAAACACTGTGCTAACAATCTGAAACACAATCTTCACCTTCATTGCATTTATTAGAGAACACAATATGAACCAAATCCAAAATAAAATTTAAGTATATATGCTTGCTCTTTTTTAACTCAGTGAAAAAATACTTGAAGACAATATATAAAATCACCTCAAGCACATGTCGATGAGGTTGAGGTGCTTCCACATTTGTGCTGGCCTTCAATTCCAGCCTCTCAGTATCTGTAGCAACACTAGAAACATCCAACTTTGCAATCTTTTGCTCAGAAGCAGCAGAAACCTCAGAGGTATTACCATGACAATCACTAATTAATTTGGTTTCTCTAGTGAGGGCAGTTGCTTTCCTCCCTTCCTCCAGCATCTGACCAAGGTTTGATTCTACAGCTCTTTGGGAAACAGTAGTTTCTGGTGACCTAGCTGAAGACTCTGATGCTGTCATAGTCTGAATTCCAGAATCTTTAGAATCTTGAGTTTCAGTATTAGTTTGCTTTTCAGTAACAGGTTTTCCTTCTTGACATATTAATTTGTGATCATTGCCAAACATGTCCAGTTTTTCACTGGCTTCAAATGCAGCTGGAGACAAACTATTATCTTGGAACTCTGTGGGTAGACTAGCTTCCTCAGTAGGACTGCCTTCTACTTTCAGTTCCACATAATCATCATCTTCCTCTTCCTCTGCTATAGACTTATCCAAGAACTCTGGCATCTCTGAAGCATCCTCTTCTGAAGGAGAACTTATAGAAGCAGTTACTTCACTGACAGTCACTGAATCTTTGCCAGTTGTTATAAAAGAATTAGAAGAAATAGTCACAGCTTCTATTATGTCAGAAGATACTTCTAAATCACCTGCATTCCTTGTCTCATTTGCCAATGTTTCTCCCAACGTGCCTTCATCTGGTAACTCCTGATTTTCTTGCTCAGCTTTCATTTCTTCATAAGATGTATTAGTAGTTTGCAGTTCAATATTAGATGCAGATTCTAGTAAGCATGTCTTCTCTATACTTGAATTTTCGTTACCATTTGTGGTGAAATGAGGATAGACAGGAGAATCCTTCCTATCTGATTGCTGGGATCCTGCTGAAACATTAACATCCCTTCTAATGACAGAGGCTGCTTCAACTGAAGTTGAAGAAGAGGGCCCTATTTCTTCATCAACTTTTCCTTGCTGTTCCCTAAACATATTGGCAAGGTTTTCTTTGTGTATTTCAAAAGTGACCTAGGTGAAAAATGTACAGTCAGTTAAAATATGCAGGAGAAATAAACACAGAATACAAAATATAAAATTAAATAATTTTCAAATACATAGTTTATATAATACAATGAAGCTTAATTTTCCTATATTTTATTTTAGTAGAATGATAAATGTAAGTTAATCACAAAAATCTAAATATTCATTAAAAATGACAGCCAATTTTAATATTAACAAGTAGCATAGCATGAAACCACAACAAGAACATAGCCATTTAGCCTATTCTTAAACATGTATAGGAAAAGGATACACTATTCTACTGGCTACCATAACTTGTACCAGAATCTAAGTATGTACCATTGGGAAGTGTTTTATGCACTGGGTAACACTTGTTTCAACTGTTAGGACTACCAATTTCCCCAGGAATTGTCCACAGGAGAGATTAAAAATATCAGTTAATTATGCTCACCATTACAGTAGCTCTACATATATCTATTAAGCTACAAAACCATTATCTCACTAAGCTAATGAATACAAGTTATTTTAGCAATGGGAGAAAAAAGATCCAGCCCTTCCCCAAAGTTTAACCATAACTTCCAAAGTTTGAACTAGTCAAAAATAGTCTGAATGTTTCAACGGATCCATACATACATCCATTCATTCCATTTAAATGTGAGTGACTACTATATATTAGGCACGGTGAACATTTCTATATCATGCTTTGCCTTTTACCCAAATAAATACGAAAAAACTGAAAAAGTAAATTTTTTTTAAAGAGAGAGCTGTACTTGTTAATGTCACAAAATTTAGAATGTTTTAAATCTCTTATGGATTATTGTATAGCCACTATCATGTGATTTCCATTGATGTTTCAACGTTAACCCCCATCACCTCTTGCAACAAAAATGCCAAAAAACTATCATACATGCAGAAAGTATAAGCATAATTATAGTTTATTAATCTCAAAGGTGTTTGTTTCTGTAATCTACATTACTATACACAGCAAATTGGACATTCATTCAATAAATCTTTATTGAGCCATAGTATAAGAGGATGGTAGGATAATCAAAGAAGAAAAGCTGATTTTTTTTTTTAAGCACAAAAATCTATAGGCTTTATTGAATCACAGAAGTATGCACATAGATGAAATGCAAACAAAAGTAAAAATGACTCTCGATGCAAAAATATCCTTCTATTGATATTAACTAGCCTTTACTCACGACATACACAGAACATTCATGCCATGTGATATACCTAAAAATAAAAATGTTCAGGGAATAAATATTTTCCTAACTGAATATTTGTAAATATTTTTCCTAATTGTAAATATGTTCTTAAATCTAAAACTTAGAAATATTTTTATTAAAAAAAAAAAAAATCAGTGGTGAAATCCAGCACTTTAAGAGGCTGAGGTGGACGGATCACCTGGGGTCAGGAGTTCAAGACCAGCCTGGCCAACATGGCAAAACCCTTTCTCTACTAAAAACACAAAACTCAGCTGGGCCTGGTGGTGCACACCTGTAATCTCAGCTACTCGGGAGGCTGAAATAGGAGAATCACTTGAACCCGGGAGGCAGAGGTTGCGGTGAGCCAAGATAGCACCACTGCACTTCAGCCTGGGTGACAGAGTGAGACTTCATCTCAAAAAAAAAAAAAAAGGATTGGTTAGCCTACTGTTTGGGAAACTGACTTTAGGAAGAGCATTTCTGTACCAATAAAACAATTATCATTATCAAAAGAAGCAGGTTACATATTAACAACCTCACTGTCATTTTGAAAATAGGCCATTTATTTCTACAAAACCTGTGTTATAGAACGACGTTTTCAATAATCATTTGCTTTGATTTTATTTAAAGGTTTTTAGAATTTGTATTACACAATGGATCGATAAACATGAGCATATATATATATATATATATATATATATAATTTATGTACAGATTAAGAAACAACAATTTTTTTAATCTCACATACCTACCACCCATGTCAAGAAGTAAAACATTATCAGTATCTCACAATTCCCCTATGCATCCTGCCTGACTGTACTCCCTACTTCTCCACTACAATCAGAAGGAAATCACTATCCCGATATTTCTATTGTTCACTGTTTATAAATAGTTTTACCTGGAGGACAGAGCTTTGGCAGACAATTTTAAAGAATAGTTTTACTATCTATATACTAAACATACCCATTATGTTTAGTTTGAAATACTAACACAAACTGAGCCAATTGTATTTTGAAAAGCAATACTGCCACACCTGAGGCTCCCAAGAAAAGACAAGATATTCAGAATCTGTGAGCTCCAGCAGGGCTTCAGCTTACTTAAGAGAACATGTAAAGCTATTTCTGGGAAGTCTTATAGGCAAGTTATTAGGAAATACAGGAAATATAGAGGTCAAGAGAGCTGGAGAATCTATCAGAGGTGGTATGTGCCAGGTAGAGTATATTGGCATAAATAAGGTCTGAGAAGTAGACTACTTCATATTTTTCAATTCTAAGCTCTCCATGGTGAACCCTTACCCTAAGAAATACGTTGAACCAGAGCATATCTTTGCATAGTAAAGTGAGAATCTCCAGGTGATTCAGGCAGTCGAATTAGAAGGGAAAATAGGAACTTAATCAGTACATGGTCAAGGCAAGGAAGCTAAGTACTCCTGGTAAGAATAAAGGTCTACCTCTCCTGAGCCAAACTGCTTCAGTCCAGATGGACTGTCATCTGTCTACTACATAGCTGCTATGGTGAGCTCCCTTTCTACAGTCCTGGAGATCCCCTTCATCTCTCTTCTATGTTGTCTCTTCTGTTTCGTATATTTCATTTCTTTCCGTTTATTTTATTCTCTCCTTTTGTTCAATATCCTGCAGTGTCTTCTTGGGTAAGAATGCATACAAATGAAATTTTTTGAGATCTCAAATATCTGAAAATGTATTTATTCTAGCTTCATATTTGATTAATAGTCAGAGTATAAAACATAGGTAGAAAAGCATTTAATTTTGGAATCTGAAATGCTTTTAAAATTCTAAATAAATAGAATTTGCCCTTTATTTACTCTAAATAAATAAAATAGGTTTTTAAATTTGCCCTTAATTTAATTTACTCCAATGGTCTAAAAGCTAAATGGCAAATGAATAATTATCAGGATTATCTTTTTGGGTGCTGTTTTCCTTAAGATATTTGTGGCTTTAAAACTGATAATTTCCAATTAATTGCCAGATATTGTTCTAAATTACCCAGTTAAAAGACTAGTCATTAATCTTCACAATCATTTGATAGCTAATCTATAGCTGTTTGTAATGTTTGGAAAGCACTTCTATAAACCACTAGTTAAAGATACTCATGAGCTAATGACTATAACATTTCTTTTGCCATTACTTTCAACTTAATTGGGACTCAAATTTACTAATTAGTAGATAAAAGATGAACACAATACATCCAAATGTTAATATTATCTTTTTAATCTATATATTAAAACTGTATAATCTGTAAAATTTAGAATTTTTAAACTGTTAGGCAATGTTTAGCAAGTACATCTTTTTCATTGTATGTTTTCATATGAAAATACCAGCTAAATATGATGTTAATTTCTGATTCTTAAGTTACCAGCCTTTGATAAACAAGATATATCTTTAAAAAAACGTGGATATTCCCATATGTAGTAGCAACAAGCATAAGTCAAAATAATTGCCACCACATTCATGAGATCTTCTGCAGAGACTCTGATGCACAACAATGGTTTAGGTAACAGATATATTGGTAAAATCAAGCATTACTGACATAAGAGCAATTCTAAGGGTTGGTAGTACTATCCCCATTTATAAAGATAGGAAGAACAATGACATAAAAGAATAACTTCTACTCTTTTCTTTTTTTTAAAAAAAAAAGTCATCTTGATCAATTTTAATTTCTTAAAAACAGTCGAAACAGATGCTTTCATACAAATCTAGAGTATAAACTAGTACAAATTTTTAGAGAGCAATTTAGCAATATCTACTAAAACTTTTTAAAACATGCAGACTCCTTCCTCTAAAAATTCCACTTACAGGAATTTAATCTACAAAATAAAAGTTATAGTATTGAAGCAGGCTCATTACTGCTCAATGATAAGGAACAAAGTATACATCAATAGATTTTTTAAAATATCTCTTCCACCAATTTTTACAAATATAATTTTGGAGAATGGCGGACTATAAAAAGAAAACTTGAATCATTTACACAGTCACTCCTTCCTAGAATTTTAAGTGGTCTGATAACATTCAAATGTTATATCAAAGCTGAATCTTATGCTCTTTACTTCTCCATAATGTAATACATTATATATGCCATATAATATGCAGACATTAAATTCATGTAAGAAATATGCCATTAAATAATACTCTAAAATAGTAAAAATATGGTCACATTTTATTAGCAAATAATTAGATGTATGTGTAGATTCATGTATAGAATAGAAGACTAAAAGGTCTCACATCAAAATGTTATTAATAAGATACACATAGGTGTCTAGATAATGGGTAATTTTTGTTTTCTGTGTGTATGCACTTCTGCAGGGTTTAAGATTTCCTATAATGAAACCTATTACTTTAAATTTTTTAAAAATAATAAATGCTATTTGGTTTTAAAATGTTAAAGCTAAGAATACTTTTAGCCAGGAACAAAGGTGCATGCCTGCTGTTCCATCTACAGGAAAGGCTGAAGGGAGAGGATCACTTGAACCAAGGAGTACCAGGCTGTAGTGTGCTCTATAAAATGGCACCTGTAAAGAACCTCTGCGCTCTAGCCTGGGCAGCACAGCAACACTTTGTCTCTCTTTTTTTTTTCAAGTACCATTTAAATTTGGTAAAAACACACATACAAACACACACACACACACAGAAATCAGATATTTTTAAAGAATTACTTAGCAATTAAAGTATAAAGTGCTGACAATCCATGAAATGTGGAAATTTTTTATTTTTGTAATTTTTGTGAAATAGAGTCTCACTCCATCACCCAGGCTGGAGTGCAGTGGCACAATTTCTGCTCACTGCA